CTTACTGGTTGGGTGGAGAATGGGTGCAAGGGGGGCTGGTACCACTTATGAGTGGGGACCACCAAGGCCGAGATAGGCCCGGGGCAGGTTCGGAAATAGGTGCGGTACCGGGGCGCTGCAAAAGGCCCGGTTCCCGACAAAAATGACTCTCCTCGACAAAGACCTTTCAGGGGCCCAAACAGGCTCGGGCATAGGCCCGGTACCAGGGCGCTGCAAAGTGCCCGACACGGATCGGCCGACAGCGGGTGAGAGCTGGCTGCTGCGAGCTGGTACCGTGGGACCAGCAAACTTTATAAGCCCAAGAGGGCTCATTCCCGGGGGATTCTGACTGGCGCACGAAAAGGGCGCACAGACTAGCACACGGGAGGTGCTGGCCCAGTAGCGGACGACGGACTTGTGCACGGGAGCACGTGGGAGAGAGTGGGGAAGTGTTCGGGAAGAGCTCGTCAGCGCTCACGGGGAAGAGCCATCAGCGCACACACGGGAGAGTCATCAACTGGAAGAACTGCTGGCACGGACCGCTGGCGAATGGGAACGAGGTGCTTGGAAGGTAGGCGGCACCTCGCACGAGCGAGGAGGGAATGACGGATCACCTGAACGGCCATACGAGAGCTATGTGCCCGAACACCTGGCGCCTGCAGAGATCGACCTCGCGGAGATCACCTACGGGCTGGATAACTAACATGAGCGAGGCCGGGAGGTCCATTTCCGAGCCCTAGGCCCGCACCCTTCTCCTCTTAGTCTCGAGGCCCCCGCGTAGGCCCGATCCCACCGCTTGTTCACGCAGGGTGTTCTTGAGAATTCGGTTACTCGTGGCAACTTCGGACACCGCCGTCGCTTAAGACATCCGTAGCCTCACGATAAACACCCGCCGCCGCCGTTCCCTCGACTATTCCGCCGACCTTTAGTATCATTCCGACCTTTCGCGGTCGCGCCCCCTTGTCCGACCCCTCGGCAGTTATCCGCTGTGGTAGCCTATTTGCGTTCGTCCGTAGCTTACGTCTTAGGCTCTCTCCGCAAAGATACTGCTGTTCAACGCTCGAGCCCTGCTCCAATTGAACGTCGTAGCCCGGCCACTCGTTCCGTCAACCTGTCGCAGCATTTTCCCATGGTCGGTGAGCCCCTGCCAGGTAGAAACCAACAAATGCGAACCTCGTTGCGCGCCCTTGTAAAGGAAGTAAAGGGCGGCGTAGGGCTGGAGCCGCCCGACAGCGCGCTAAACCAGCTATCAGCTAAGACCTCACAAACCAGCAACCTATCAATGACAGTCAGTTTGACTCCCAACCTCAATCAATGACCGCACTCCATCCTCTTTAATTATTTTCCTATTATCATTTCTCCCGCATTTTTTCGCAAACAGACTTCGTGACATCTATCTTGCGTTGCTTCCTTAAAAATGTCTTTTGAAGCATATGTAGAAAAAAATTCGTTTATTTTTTATCATATGGAAGATATCAGACCCTCAGTAAGAGCACAAGCAATTTTTTACCCTGCGTATCTCGCTATAACCCACCTTCGCAGGAGGTTTCACAATATGAAGATATCGCAAGGAATATGAGCAGCAGAACTTGGTAGCATTATGCTTCCTGTATCTCACCATCTTAACAAACAATGCATGCTTCTTGGTTATTAAGCATAGTCAACCTCATTTTGGCAATTATCATACCTTCTTCCCCACTGGTGAGCCTCACCTCTGTTTGTGCATCTATTTGCATCTTCAGAGCAACTTGTGTTCAATCATGTTTCTTGCCACGTAATAATGAATGTGAAAACCAACCTTCCCACATCAACCCGACCATCTCTTTTCTCTGTACTCTCAAAATACAATTCAAGATTCTTTTCCATATTTTTGCCTCCCGTCAGGCGAAGCATCTGTGTCTTGGCTCACCTGCATTTCATTTTTGTTTTAATGTTTTGTGCAGGTCATGGAGTACTTTTTTCGCACCTTTCTTCATTTTTCCATCTCTCTTCCACTGCTCCTTCTTTCTTCCTTACCAATGTTCAACCTACCTTTTTAATTTTTTCCCTTTAAAACACCTAGAATGTCATCCTCTTCCTCATCTTCCTTACCCTTGCACCACCAGTCCTCCTCTGCGCCTTTCTTTTTTTTAATATCCTTAAGAGGTCTGATATACTCACTGCTCTTGCGGAATAAGAAGATGCGGGGAAGGGAGGGAGAAGAAGAAGAAGAAAGAAGGAAGGAAATATTAGCACAAGTCACAAATCAAGAAGCACGAAGTTGTCCAAGACAAGATGCTTAAAAATCCATGAGAATCACGCAACCACTTGTGTAAGTTCCGATAATAATTCTACTCCGCATTACTTGTGCAGATGGATCCTTGGCTAAACACATTTCTTGCCGCTTCCGGCCCCCAGTCAGTCATTGGAGCATAAATCTATGCTGTCCTCCCTATACTACCTCTTGTCTACACTCCTGCTAGAATCACTGACTGCCTCAACCCCACTACCCACAACCTTAATGAGCTACTCTTTCATGTCAGAACAGAGACCACAAATGAAATCTTCAGGGTCCATGTTCATGCCATAAGACTCATAAATCTACTCCCCCCCCCCCCCCCTCACCCCCCACCTCCTAATACACCTCCCTCCCCACTGCCACCCTCCCATCCACCCCAAAACCTCACACCCCTTGCCACACCCTCTTCATCTTCATCCCAAATCAACCAGGCTACAATTGACGCTTTTGAACAACTCAAGAAGCAGATGACCACCAAGATGGAAGAGAATCGGACTTCCATCGAGCAACTCAAGAAGCAACTCATTGAGAAGCAAGAGGAAAACTCCAACTTGAATCAGCTCTATCAAAAACTCCAATCTGAGATGTATGGTATCCAGCAGTCCATCAGTGACAAATCCAAACCGGCCTACGATGAGTTGTCAGCTTGGAGGTCAATTTTCGCCTCACCTTGTTACTTCGCGCAAATTGAAGCCTACATACGTTTTTTGGAGATCAACATGAACTACTCCTTCTATCCCATTGGAAAGGCTTTTGTAGCAGATTTCACTGCAAGAGTGGCATCAGTGGCCAAGGACTGCACGAAGCCACTCATAACCAAGCAAATCAAGCAGCATCTCGACGGATCCCTGAGGCAGGCTATGGACAAGGCAGTACCTATCATCAAGTCGGAGTACAACTACTGCATGAGCCTCGTAAGAAGAGAAGCACACAGGTAAGCAAAGGATCGTCTTCCGACCAAAAAATGAATTTTACTATCACCCCGGACCGCAAATAGGTCCACGTGGTCTGCGTTATGGGGCTTATCTTTTATCCTCTGTATCCTTGCAGATTGGGCATTCCTGAATGAGAACATTCCTCGTATCATAAGAAGGAAGACAACTCCAAGACGAAAGACGGCAGGAGATCTTCGAAGAGGCACTATGAAGATTCCAGGGACATAAGATACGACTACCACAGAATGGCCAAGAAGTCCCACTCCGATCACTCCCACCCCGCAACTTCTGAACCCACAAGTCCCCCCCAGTAACACGACACCCTTCATTATTCCCAGCATACCCTCTATCCTTTCTAACCTGCAAACCCCGCCATCCACTGCAGATCTCCGCCTCGCAACTTTCGCACTGCAAGAACACATAGCTTGGCTCCGGAATCCCGATACCTTCATAGCCGTCAATCCTTCAAATCATTTCTCAAACTGGTCGCTTCTTCTCTCCTCATCTTCTCGAAGATACTCCCACTCTGTCCTCCAATGGATCCACCACGACGTCAACCTACGATTCAAGGGCACCTCGCACATCCCCACCCCCAAGATTATCGAAGTCAGAAGAATGGTCAAAATGGTACTTCCGGCTTCACTATTCAAGCAGGCCCTCAAACTTCAATCCCGACCTCCTTTAGTTATCCCTAACCACCCCACTCCTCCCCACCATACCACTTTTATCTCTTCAACCATCTCTCAACTCCTCGCATCCGGCGTCATAGAGCATTCCCCTAATCCCCTTGTCGTAGCATCTCTTCAACCATCTCTTCAACCATCTCCCAAGTCCAGACCCTACTTAGAGAGCTCGTAGCATCTTTGCCACTTCTTATATAGACGACTCTGCACTTGCAAACAAGGAACTACCCCTGCTCCTCTAGCAAACTTTTAACTATGTCGCATTACTCCACAACCTAGGCTTCTTCCTCAGCATCCACAAATGCTCTTTCCTGCCTTCTCAGTCCATTCGATTCCTCGGTTTCACCATTGACTCCCATTCCAAAAAAATCAGGATCCCAGAAGACAAAGTAACCAAGTTGGTCAACCTCATCCAAACCACGACAAATCCTTCCAATAGAGGACTCGCAAAACTGGCAGGCAAGCTTGCCTCTCTCTCAAAGGCATTTCTACCTACCCACCTTTACCTCTCTTCCCTTTACAAGGCAATCTCCCCAGCCAACTGGGATTCGCCCATCTCCATTTCCACCAACCTCACCGACGACCTCATCTGGTGGATCGCCCACTTGCCCCACCTTCCGGGCAGACTCTGGACACTTCGTCCACCTTCTCTTCATCTTCACAGACGCATCCTCCACACAGATCGCCGCACTAATCCACCCCGCGCAAGGTCCCCCCATCACCTTAAATCAGTGCCTGCCCCTCAACCTTCTAAACTCTTCCTCCACGCACAGAGAACTTTTTGCTATACTTGAAACTTTTAGATTTCTCGCTTCCAACCATCCTCACTTCCTCTACTCAACTTCCGTTAGACTTCATTCGGATAGCCAGACAACTATAGCCTTTCTCCTTCACCTTAAATCCTCGGATGATTCCTTCAACCCCTGGCTCCGGAACATTACCTCCATCCTCCTAACCTTCGATACACTCCTCAGCCCGGTTTGGATACCCAGAAACCTGAACCAACCAGCCGACGCTATCTCAAAGTTAGAGGACAATACGGATTGGGGCCTTGAAGGCCACGTCATGACGCAAATCTTTGCACAAATCGGAGCACCGACAGTTGATCTCTTCGCCTCCGATTATCACCACGTATGCCCTTCATTCGTATCGAGATTCTGGTTAACTAAGGCTTCCCACATAGACGCCCTTTCCCTCGACTGGTCCACCCTCCCCGCCTTACCATACCGTTGGCTTTTTCCACCAACCTCTCTTCTCCGCCAAGCTCTCACCAGAGCCATCTCATGTCCAACATCTTACCTCCTCATCCTCCCCTCATCTCAGCGTACCTCATGGTACCCCCGTATCCTCTCCCTCTCTATCACCCGCCGCTTCACTATCCCCGACTCCAAATTCTCCTGCCTCCCCAGTCCCAGGGTCAACCTCGCCACCCCCAACCCCGCTGTCCTCGGCCTCACAACCATCTTCTTTCGCACTTGATTCTCCGACTCGCCGCCTCTTCCATCCTCGCCGCATTCCATAACCATACCTCATAAACGTCCCAACACTACTCCACGTCCCCTGCCGCATCATCTCACCAAGGCTCCAGCCCTCTTCTATGCCAGCCTGAACTCCGCCTATACGAAAGTTATGCCCACTCTCCCCTGCAAACACCCCCGCCTCAACAAACCACTTCTCGATTCGTTTATTAAAAGCACCACCACTCATTGCACCACTTTCGTGCATCGGACGAAACAGGAATCCCTGCTTTATGTCCTGTCCCACCCGCTCGTAGCTACTTACCATTTCTGGAAGCCATCCCAAAAATGTCTCCTCCTCACCCCCCGCATCTCGTAACCTTATCATGAATCTTCCACCATGACGATTCGTTTTAGTATAACCAAGACACACGACCTTCTTCTCTAAATCTATTTCCTTGTATTGCAGACGTAATCCCTCCCCGCATCGCTGCCAGCTCTCCCATAAATACAAAAACGCACCGCCATCCCGATATGCCTGAGCTTCGTGATAACCCTTTAGCACCTTCACCTTCTCCCTAATAAACCTCAGAACCCTCTCCAGTTTCATCCACGTCAATGCCACTGCAGATTCTTCAACCACCCCCCGCTGCAACGAGTACTCTCTATACGCTTTTCGGAAGGATCGTACCCGGATGCTCTGGCAAGGATCTCCTTCTCTGTCCCTTCCAAGGAGGCGAAAGCAAGCGCCCAAGCAATTCAGTGTAGCATCAACTGTCGAAGGAGAAACAAGTGGCAAACCTACGCATCGGAAGTCCGGCATCGACTCTCCATTTCAACAAGTCATTGGCTGCTAACGAAGGACAGGACGTCAAGATCGTTGCATTGCATGCAGTCTCTGCCAACATGGTTCCGATCCAACCATTCATTCAAGGCAAGAAGAAGCTTTCTCATTCCACCTTGCCATCTCCTTCCAGCACCGTACTCTCCTACCAAGGCGCTGCTCCACTCTAGTCCAGCCTCATATCCGCCATCGCTCAGCCGTTCGTTCCACCATTCCCTGCAAGACGACCATGTCACTTGCGGGACGCTGGGGGAGTTGGGTGGTCTAGGAGGTGTGCG